GCCAAAAACACCAGGTGCCATCAGGAGGTCCAGCAGTGGGGCCAGGACACTACAAGCCCTCCCACTGTTGCCCCCCCCCAAGCACCAAGAATACAGAGCATCGCTTGCCCCAGCCTGAGAGTTCCTATCTATACCTTGTGACTAATAGCCACTAATAGATTTCGGCTCCATATGCTTTTCCAATTCCCTCTTGAAGCTGTCCATGCTTGTAGCCGCCACCACCTCCTGTGGCAGTGGATTCCATGTGATAATCACTCTTTGGGTGAAGAAGTACTTTGTTTTATCCATTCTAACCCGACTGCTCAGCAACTTCATTGAGTGCCCACCGAGTTCTTGTATTCTGAGAAAGGGAGAAAAGTACTTCTTTCTCTACCTGCTCTATCCCATGCATAATCTTGTATACCTCGATCATGTCACCCCTCAGACGTCGTTTCTCCAAGCTAAGGAGCCCCAAGCGCTTTAATCTTTCTTCACAGGGAAGGTGTTCCAACCCTTTTATCGTTCTAGTTGCCCTTTTCTGCACTTCTTCCAGTGCTATAATATCCTTTTTGAGGTGTGGTGAACATGTCACTGCAATGTCACCTGGGCCTTTCTCCCATTCCCAATAAGCCCCCCTCCTCCCATGCCGGTTGCCAGGAGGGACCCGGCAACCCTAGAGCAGGGCTTGGATGCAGAGTGTGTGCTGAACACAGAAATGCTGGAGTGCCCCTTGGTTTCCAGTTTTGGGAAAGCCCAATAGCACCCCCCCCTAAAGTGGCACAACGGAGTGGGTGGGGCTGGCTGTGTGAGGCGGTGCCCACTAGGAATGCGATGCCAATGTGGACTGTTGGTCCACCTAGCCCCCCAGTATGTACTGAACCGGGGACCTTGTGCCCACAAAGCACCTGTTGTGCCACTGAGCTACAACTTCTGCTTTTGCATACAGCCTCAGTGGCAAGATTTTCATGAACCCTGAGGTCCTGCCATGCTCAGAAAATCGATCTCCTTTCCCAAACTGAACATTGGGTTTTTTTTGGTTTTTTGTTCAGATAAAACATCATTTTCACGAGCGATTTTTGTATTTGATCCATTTCTCATCCGGTTTTGTTGGCAGGTGACGACGCTGAGAAACGTCGACAGTATGCTGCAAAAAGTTCACTTGGTGTCAGAAGGCACGTTGATCTACCTGAGCGAATCCAGCGAGGTTTTCATCCGTGTTCGAGAGGGATGGAAAAAACTGCAGGTAGTAATAGTTCATTTGAGGACATGCAGCTCAGTTTACATTAAAAAAAAAAAATCATTGCCTGCTCTGCGTTCTGTAGGGAACGAG